TATTTTTATGTACTAGAAGCAGCAAAGAACTTCTAAAACAAAACTTTAAAAGCTCAAAACATAAGCCCTGGCCCACAAATGATGGTTCTGATTACATCAAAAGTAGGTGGCAATGAAAGACATTATGGACAAAGTTAATAAACAGTGACTGTGGGAGAAGATATTTACAATATCTGAAATCAATAAGCTATAATGTTCCAAGAACTCCTGCACAAGAAAAAGACAGATGTTTAAATGGGAAAATGGACGTGCGTAAACATTATAATCCACAGAAGAGGAAACCCGAAAAGGCCTAACAAGTATAAGAAGAAATTCTCCAACTCATTAGTATCCAGGGAAATGTTAATTAAATCAATGTGGAGGTACCAACTTACACATGCTGCACTGGCAACCATGGGAAAGCTGGGCAATGTCAGGTTGGAAGAGCTGTGGAAATACAGGAACCTCGTGCATTGTTGGTGGAACTACAGATGTGTGCAGCGTTTCTGGAGAAAACCTGTCACTACTTAATCAAATCATGTTTACTCTTACTCTCTGGTGCAGAAATTCCATGCTGGGATATATAGCCAAAGAAATTCTCACAAAGGTCCAGGAGGGGAAATGTATAGTTATGTTCCCTGCATCATCATCGGGTTGGCTGCGAGTTGGAGGCAATCTGAGTTTCCATCGCTGGAGGTAACATGCAGTGGTGCACCTGGGGGAGTACTGGGCAGCAGTTAGAAAGCTTTAAACCTACTATCATTATTTAGTTTACCTTTCTTTGTCTTATCTTTTGTATCCCTTTTCCTCTTCTTCTGCCTCCTTTTGAATTGAGTATGTGTGACGATTCCATTTGATCTCCTTTGTTGGCTTATTAGCTAGGACTTTGTTTTGTCACTGTAATGGTTACTTTGCTTTATACATCTATACTTTATTGTAGTCTACTCTAGCACAAGAATCTTACAAAAGTGTACTTCCGATGCAGGGGTTGTCTCCACGAAGGGAGGAACGCCCCCTGAACTTGCCAAGTGGGCCCTTGGCTTCATTCGGGAAAGAATTTGAGTGAGCCAACTAGTGAGAGGAAGTTTATTGAGAGAGAGACAGACAACCATACTCCATAGACAGAGTAGGGATCCTTTCCTGAGCAGGAGAGGGACTCTTTATGGGGCAATGGTCACATTTTTAAATGTTCAGAAACCCTGTTGGGAAACAGCCATATGTGACTAGCAATGTCTTAAGCTCAGATCATAAAGATTAATCATAAACTGCTTTCACAGAAAGGTAAGAACAGTTTGTAAGGCATCTGGCTTGGTAATTCATCCCTCCCTCTTCAGGTGGTCCCAGCGGGCAACTTGCTGGCAACTTCCTTGTTAAGGTGGTTAGGGTCAGGTATCCATCAAAATGGCTGTACTCAGGCTCTCTCGACTTCCTACATTCCTTCCATTAATCCTCTCCCAGACTTTGCACTATTTTTGTCATACATTTTTCTTATATGTTAAAACTGCATACTATGTTATTATTATTTTGTTTAAATAATTATCTTTTTAAAAAATTGTAAATAATAAAGACATAAACACACAAGGTGTGGTTACCATTTCTGGTGCTCTTCATTGCTTTAGGTAGAGTCCTACTTTAATCTGCTAACATTTTCCTTTAATATTTCTTATAGTAAAGTATGTTTTGTCTCACACATTGTAGTTTTCATCTGTAGAAGTCCAGTTATAATGACTGTTTTAATGTCTTTGTTGAGTCTAACATCTGTGTCTGTTTTAATTGATTTATATTTTCCTCCTCATTGTGGGTCATGTTTTCCTGTTTCTTTGTCTGCTAAGTAATTTTTTTAATTGAATGCCAGACACTGAGATTGCATCATCTGTATTTCTATAAATATTTTGGAGCTTTGTTCTGGGACATAGTTAAATATTTTGGAAACAGTCTGATCTTTTTGGATCTTCTTTTAATATTTGGCAGGTGGGTCAACGAATCTACAGCTATTTATTCTTTACTACTGAGGCAAGAAATTAATTTCTGAGTACTCTACCCAATATTCTGTGAGTCATGATGTTTTCCACATTTTCCCCCAAATGTACATAAAAAGTAAGTCCTATTATCCAATCTCGAATAGGTCTGTAATGTTGTAATTGTCTTTTTATTTGTCCTTTTTATTAGAAGAAGAAAAAGAGGAATGCTACTTTCTAGAAGATAGAGGGGAGACACTTGCATCAAAAGAGAGACAGAAACAACCCAAACATAAATCCACAGAGGTTGGGTTGGAGGGTAGAGGAAGCCTGGCATGGGGCAAGGTGCGAAGGACTCCTAAGGAGACCTATGGCAAGCAGAATAACAGATCCCCAAAGATGTCCATGTTTTAATCCCTGGAACCTGTGAATATGTTAGGTTACATGGCAAGAGGGGATCAGCTCACCTTAAGATGGAGGAGATTATCCTGGTTTATCTGGATGCGTCCAATGTCATCACAAGAGTCTTTGTAAGTAGAAGAGGAAGGCAGCCAGAATCAGAGAGAGGTGTGAGAAGGACTTGGCCTAATGCTGCTGGCTTTGAAGATGGAGGAAGATACTGAGAAACAAAGAATGCTCATGGCTTCTAGTGGCTTCTGAGATATTTATCCTTTCCCACTAAACCTGTTCCTCTAGCAGACTGGAGTAAATACCAGTTGAATCCTTCTAATTGCTTAGGCCCAAGTCCTTGGAGGCATTCTATGTTCTAACCCTTACCGGGTACGTAGTATCAAACCAGTCCTCGCATTTGTGATTTAGCTCAGTGCCTCCCAGAATTCTGGCTACACATGCATGGAGTGGGCCTAGGTTCTTGTCCTAAAAATGTTAATGCCCTTCAACTGAACATCACCAGGAACATATCTGTAGTTGAATGAGTTGGGTTTACTCTTGCAGTTAGGAAGAATGCTAACCACAGGAAACCGATGGGCATCTCAGTAAGAGGATGGTAGAAAAAAACCTACTATAGAATTTGGAAAAAACCTACTAAGGAAGCTCTAGACTTGGTGTTATCAGAAAAGGGGGCAATTCTATGAATGGTCATCTCCATAAATATTATCAATAGGAATCAGGGACAAACAGGAAGATAAAGGTATAATTGGTAAAGTAATAGCTGTCACTCATTTTAACCAAGAGAGAGAAGCATGTTTGTGGATGGCACAATTACCTTGTTTTTATGATTTCAGAGTGACCTTGTCTAATGTTCATGTTTTATGAGATTTTTTATGTCCAACAGAGCAATCTGGCTTGGCTGTGAGCAGCAGCACAACCTGTGATAGCAGTGAGGCCTAGCTGTGAGAGTCCAGGGTATCAGTGGTTGCTTTTTTTTGTTTCTCAAATGGATGACAGTGGTCTACCACAGGCAGTCAGCTTCTCTCAGACACTCCAGGTGAGAGAGAGACACTGTCTCAAATTCATTCTCATTTAGCCCCTGGTCATCAGAGGTGTGCATCTTCAGCCTGCAACCCTGTCTGGCCATGGTGACAATTGCTCCTACCCTACCTATGTGGCTGACTCAGATCTGTCCTCAGAACCCAGAAGATGGCACTGCTGGTCTGTTTATCCTCATCATTCTTATCTATTTGTTTTTGTTGTTATTCTTTTTGCTTTCTTTAGAAAGGGATTGCTCTGTTTCTAATCTATGGATATTTCCTGCTTGCCTTTGGGTGTTCTTAATATTTCACACCGTATTTGCACAAAATGTTTGGAGTTGAAGGGGTAGGTTTCCGTGTGAGCTGTAGCTCTCGTCTTGACCTGAAAATAGCTAAGTGTCTTTTTGTGCCCCCCTCTGAACTGCCATTCTGACGCATGGCACCACCCTGCTGTCTCTCATCATCAGCATGGCCCCTGATTGTTATTGTTTTTAATTTTCTACACATTCTCAAGGATATGCTAGGTCATACAGTTCTGGGCATTAGCTGTATGTCCCTTAAATGCCAACATTAAAAAATGAGAGATCCCAGCATAACTGAGTGTCCTCCTGTATAACCTTTTGCCATATTTCGGCAAACCAGACCAAGTACTCAATTCAGGAGTAATCACCTGAACCTAATTTAGTCTTCCAGTCTGGAGGCAGAGAAAGCTATGGGGAGCTTCAAATACCTGGAAAGGCTTTTCTCATTAACATTTATTCTTGTAATGACTGAGCCATTCTTTTTGCAGGACAACCCTTCATCCTTTTATGTCCCATGTGTAATTTTACACTATTTTTGTTGGCTGGTGCTGGGAAAGGGTCATTCGTGGGGAAGGATCTTTAATTTCCCTCTACCCCAAAGCCTGTTATCTCCCCAAAGAAGACAATAACATTTATCCCCCTTGGTACCTCCTTACAGCACTAAGTACAGATTGCACAAGATAGGCATTGCTCATATTTAATGGAATCTCACTTAATATGTTCACAGTAGATAACAGACGTGGTGGAAGGAGGTTTTCCAAGAGCGTGGAAGGACCCCGAAATCATCTCATGGCATGGATGGTATAAAGAAGCTGAGATATGGAGGTGTGTCCTGAATCAGCCAGAGTAGGATCTAGTCCTCAGTGCACACACTGAAAAAGAAAATTCTGGGCTGGAGAAATTAAGGGGCAAGTCTTATATTCTTATGGTATGTAGAGTGGTCATATCAGGTCATTGAGAAACAGGCAAATCAAAGAGCAAGCACACTCATGGGATTGGAATAGGGGCAGAGATTTACTGCAGAGGAGGGAGCATCCTGAATCAGGGAAGATTCTGAGAAGCTAGAGGAAGAGTCAGGAGAAGTCCCCTCTTTGCTTGCTGTTAGCCCTACATCTCTCACAGACACAAAGACAAATCACGTGATTGCGAGGCTAATTATTTATTCACCATGTCAAGGAAGGCGTCATTCATGGTAGACTTCCCCTGGCGTGGCAAAGAAAGTGAGAAATGCAGAGAAAACTTTTGATTCTTGGAAAATTGACAAGTCTTCTTAGGCAATTAGGGCAGACCCCGAAGACACGGGGATAATGCCTTCTGTGTGACAGTGATGGAAACCAGTCACAGAAACTTGTCACAGCAGGACATGGGGACCAGGAAGGGAAGATGCTGGAGGCCAGGTGTGGAAGCAATCATTCAGCACTAAATAAGGCAGAGAAGAAAGAGAACACAGAAACTTATTAAGTGTTCCTTGGACTGAGTGTGAGGATGGGGAGAAATTCTATTACAGAGAAAAATGGTGAAGAAAGGTATCTCACCCTACTTCTAATTTCATTATTACTAGAATAGAAGGAAGGGTATTGAGTAAGTGACCTTTCTTTTTACTGTTGCTAATGCTATCATAACCTTTCCCCACTGAATCTAGGAAAACCAGAAAGGAAGCAATAAAAGGACTCTTTTGTTTCTTTCTGCCACCTTCACCATTAGAAGTTTTGGAGATATATTTGATGAGAGGAATAAATGAGAAAAGGCATAGCTACCTTCTCTAAATAGTTACTTTCTGCAAATGCTAAAGTACTACTACTCTTTTTTCCATTTCAAACTTTGTCTCAGTGATTTTCAGCACATCATCAATTACTGAGCTGTTTTTACCAGCATCACATCCACACAGCAACTCTGTTAGGCAGACATCATTGCTTCCTTTTTAATTGCTTAGGTTATTTTCCCAATAGCTCATGGCAGAACTGGGTCCTCAATCCATGTCTTTCAACTCCAAATTTCAAGCTCTCTGCACAAACTTCGTTACCAAATTATTTTTATGGTAATACTTGGTTATGAACCCCTAATGCTTTTGGAAGACGCTGGTCCCTGGGCCACCACTCTCCACCAGGATCAGAGATCACCAACCTGGAGGCTTAGACCAGTGCATTGTCTCGGGCCTGGAGACAGCGATCTGTAGAGGCAGAACAGAATACATTCAGACGCCAACACCAGTTTAGTTTTTAGAAAGAAACGGGATGATTCTCCAGGTTAGGACAGAGGGCACTGAATATTGGGTATTACTTTCCTTTAGATTTCTCCCTTTTGTAACATGGGGATTTAGCTTACTAAATCAAGTAGCTCAACTTACTAATTTTGGTCAAGTCAAGTATGTTTTCCTGAGCAATTCCATGTGCTCTACAATATTCCAGAAACTTTGCCTTGACACTTGGGCTCACATCTGGTTCTCGGCCTGTGGGAAGAGTAACAATGATTGCTGGTTCTTGTGTATTAGTTACAGAGGTACATGAGGGGACAGGGCTCCAGAGGGATGGGAAATGGACAGCACCAATTGGATGCTGAGGCAGAAGTCTTACAGGGTGGAGATAGCCTGTCCTGAGTTTGACATCAGTAGGATATCTTTCTGGCATGATGAGAGATTATGTGATCGTCCTATCACTGAGCCTAAGGGTTTACCAAGGGAAAGCATCTGTCTTCTGAAGGGGAGAGATAGTCCAAGGTAAGATTGGGAAGGTCACTGAGTATCTAGGGTTCCTTCTCCTCCCCTCTCTTCTCACCCCAAGATGAGTGCCAGCATGAAAATACTCTACCATAGAGTGCCATAATTTGGGATTTTCCCTCATTGTTGCAATTCTCAGCATGATAGATAAGGTAGCCAACATAGTCAGTTTCAAGGATGTGAGCTACAATGTGCCCATTATCTGTGGAGGAAACAGAATACAGCTCAGAACTTCTTTGGTCCATGGGAAGCAGTTGAAACCCTTTACCTGTTCTTCCCCACAAAACAAATCCACGTGCATTTCCTGAAACAGAGAAAGAGCCAGGATGTTCAGTGCCTTCCATGTGCATCTCCCTGAGCTTCATGAAGCAACTCCAAAGATAGGGTAGATTGACTGCTAGTGGTTGGGAAATTTAGCCAAAGCAGCAACTCACACTTTATCATCCTCCCAATACCTACCCACTCCCCTCAGCATCTCTGTCCGTGATGTGTCTTTGTCCTCTAAGCCCCACTGGAACCACATACCTGATGCTACATCCTGAGTAACAGGTTGTGGCAATGGCCACCAGGCATCATCAGAAACATGGCAGGGATGAGAAGCTGTCCTGCCAGTTTACTTTACTTTACCTGCCAATTGGCTTTTGTTGCAGGAGGTACATACAACCAAACTGCCTTCCTCAGCTGATGGAATTCTGTGTCAAGCATTGGCTTTCACATACAGAGTTCTCCCCAGTTCAGGATATTGGCTATTAGATGGCCCCTGTTATATTACCCAAACAAGCATTGATCAAGAAGTGATCCTGAAGCTATTGGGGTTTATCAAATTCCTTCCAGCTGGAAGTAGACTTTAGAAAGAATGTTTTTGTATACTTACAGTCAGAACTACATTCACCATCTTTTCCTGTTGAGTCACAAACAAAAGGAACTTCACTGCACTCTCCATTTACGCTGTGAAACAGCATGAGTTAATGCCCAAGAGATATTGGTCAGGCTGGCTCCCTTCCCCTCTACTCTCCCCATAACTTGAGTTTCTGATTCCACCTAAGTTTCAGACATTTTTTTGTTCAGTTACCGGAGAATATTATTTTGCTTAGTTTTATCACTCTTGCTACTACCACTACTTGCCACTGTTATTGTCACCACAAGTACTTGTCTAGATCCTGAGCACAGTGTTCACGACCTGGCAGCCTCTCAAGTAACTGCTTTACAAATGTTACCTGAGTTGGTCCTCACAAAAAGACACGAGGGAGAATTGTTATCAACTCCTCCTACACGCAGGAAAATGGAGGTGGAAAGAGATCAGGTACCTTGGCATCATAGCAAGTAAGAGATAGATTCGAATTCAGGTTGTTGATTTCAAATTCTATGCTCTTAACGCATGCTATATTGTTGTGCTGATGTGCCTCTACCTCCTACTTTCTCCATTCTCATTAAATTTATTCCTGTTACCAACTCTTGTCTCTGAATCTTGAAAAGCCCCAGATCCATCAAGTCCTGGATTAGTACCAGATGAGGGACTCTGATTTTGGACACAGGCTCAGCATGTGTGTGTGTACACATTTGCATATGTGTACGTATGTGCACACTTGTGTGTGTTGTGGGTGTGTATATGTAAGACCATTCTCAGCCTTCAATTTTTCTTTGCCCAATTAAAAAAATCTCCTACTTAAATGAAAAATTACCTATTGGGTACAATGTACACCATTCAGGTGATGGGTATGCTAAGAGCCCAGACTTAACCATTATACAATATATCCATGTAACAAATCTGCATTTATAACCCCCAGATCTATAAAAAGAAAAACATCCCACACGTACATTGTATGTAATTTAAAGTACAGAGAAGAGTGCTCCAGGACATAGATGCGTTCCACGAAAAACCTCATGCTGCCATTCTCTTCTATCTTTTCCTTATTGTCAGAGGCCAAGTAAATGGAATACCAGTCTCCTGAAATCTGCAATACATAGGAAGAGGATTGGGTAAGAAAAGAGGAGAGGGAATACCAATGGACAATTCTCTCCTTGGACTCTGGCCAGTGGGCTAAGACTTACCATGGCGTTGTGAAGATAGAATTAGAACTCAGGTCAATGGGCACCATGCCTAGGGCTCTTTCCACTGACTCCAGGGAAATGAAGGTCCCCAAGCACTCTCATCTTTTCATATGGTGCAATTGCGCTTAGTACAAGGCCAGAAACTACCCCTTTTGTCTAATATGTTAAGGAAATTCTGCTCCCCCTGATTAAGACTCATTTGCCTTCAGAATCCTCTAAGCCCTTGCCCACACCCCAAGTCAAAAGTTACTACACTCCATGGCTCTACCTTTGACAGATCAAAGTTGCTTGTCACAGGATCAACGATTTCTTGTGCCTGGCTAGAAACTAGGGCCAGGCCCAGACTCAGCAACAGCAGCTTCATCTTGATAGGGGACGGCACTGTCTCCTCTTCAGTTGCCAGGGGTGAGTCTTTCTCTAGCAGCGGCTCCTCTATCTTTATATCAATTCTGGATCCAGATTTCTGTACATGGGCCACCACCTTTATCCTCCCCCTCCATGAAATAGTCTTTCATTCACTGGTGTGAGGCCAATAATTGTTCCTACCCTTTTGAAATGTGGCAATTCCACCACTGTTAGATCTGGTTAGTGACCTTAAATTTCTCAGAACCTCTTCTCAAGAAAAATAGTGGATGTTC